AAACCCTTCATAGAAACCTTTTAATATTATTACCTAGCAGAGGAAGCAGAGCTCAACGGAGTCAACCATGTTTGGAATTTGTGAACAATTTGTTCAGACTTATATGCTGACACCTCAGGTTAGAAACAGAAAATAATCTGTGGTTTCCTCTCCCGTTGCAGAAGAACATGTAGAATTTGGAATGGGCTTCGCTCAGAGGTGAGATTTAAATTGATGTATTTATCACTGCAAATGGAAAAGAGTGATTTAAAACAATAAAAGTGATGTATTTATAGAACAATGTTCTTAGATATTTAGCATTTCTGAGTAACAGAGAAGCAGAAAAAGCCATTGTTCACCTAGCATCCACAGAGACTTGCAGGCAGCTGACAATATGAGGACTATATCACTTTTCCAACAGTGGTTGCCCTTTTCCCATGGATCTTTCTCTCTGTCATTGTCAGACTTTTAAAATAAAAATTGCTCCATCTTCAGAATTTTTAGCCTTCAGAAGCTTCTCTGAAGTTTTTACTCTCTTCTGATGGCACAGGTGATAAAGACTGACTGCTAACAAAATTCAGAGAAAAATATAACCAGAGCGCTTAACCAAGATGGGTTTCCTTTTCCTGTAGTCAGAAGTTGTCCTCGTGGAAACACGATAGCCACACTGACTCATGCAAGCAGAGTAGCAGCATGTTTTTATTTGTTCAGAACTCACCCCTGTGACAGCCAAGTGCTGTAATCTCTTGGCCTTGCTGTGGCATGAAATGCTGTTCTCCAGCTTAAGAGACCTGCCTGTTGCGATGGAAAGTTGCAGTTGTCAGTTGCAGTTGTCAATTGCAGTTTATGAACGAGGAATGAGTCACCCTGGGAATAAGCAGTGCTGGTGTGGTGCTGCAGCAAACCACCTGGTCTCCAGTGATTTATCAGCACCAAAACCAGAACAGGCAGTAAAGAAATAAGAGCTCCTATTCCCAGACTAAAAATAACACAGGTGGGATTTTTGTCAGCTGTGATACTTCTTCCTGTTGTAATTGGAGACATTTGATAGCAATATTATAAGAGGGAACATTATGGTAAAAATCGTCTGTGTGGAGCTCTGTACAATATGTAACTGAGTTATGAGGCAATAATTTTACTATTAGCTTTTAACACTAAAGTATATATACTCCAAGCAGTATCCCAAAACCATATATTTTGGCATTAGTGCTACAGGAAAATAGAGATCTAGTTCCAAGCAAAAGGCTGAAGAGACACAATCCCATTACAAAAAACCTCCGAAGTTCTTGACTTTATATTTAAAGTGTTGGAATTGTGGACCACAGTCACATTCTAGACAGTGGTTCAATCTCAAAAGGAACAGAGTTCTGGGAAACCAATGCCAAATGCAAAGTGTGGACAGTTATGCTCCAAGCTACGAGTTAGTATAAAGTTGGTGTGATTGTGTTCATTATATACTTTTACAAGGGGTTTGTACCAGCAATCTGTGTTGCCTGGGGTACCCAGGTAGCAATCATGGGAGGAAAATACAGAAGAAAGATTTTATGTTGAGTAGCAGTTCTGTTCTGTGACAATGTCCAGTGAGGGGCTTTCTTGGGTTATGTTGTAGCAGTTATCACAGGAAGTGACCATGGTAGTATCATGGTGGTAGCATGGTCCCTCATTGCTAAGTGACCAGAAGTTGTTCTTCCTGAAGTGTGAAGGATTCATTGTCTCTTCAGTTTTCACGGTTCCCAGATAACAGCTTTGAGAAGAGCTCAGACAGGTGAGAAAGCTTCTTTCCCAAGACCTTGCTTGTAGAGGCAGAAAATAATTAGTGTACTGACAATGCATTTTCCAGAGAACAGGAGCATATTACCTTACATCATAGCTTGTGAATTGCTTTGGTGAGGCACGGGGAAAATGGCTTATTTTTACTTATTTTTTCACCTTAACCTAGCTCCCAATCTCCTTCCATCATAGCTGACAGTCCATATTTCCATACAACAAGAGATGTGCAGACTCCTTGCTGAAATCCCATAAATTCAAGGGCCTCTGTCCATAGAAGTTTCATCCTGAGGCTTTCCATAGTTACAGCTGTGCATTAAGGCCATCATTGGGGTCTATGAATTCTGTATTTTTTTTCTTGTAGCTTGCAGAGATTTTCCTGCTCTTATTCTGATTCTCTGCATTTGCAGAGACTAAAAAGGGGGGGGAGGGGACATGGGGACAATGTGTGTGGAATTGAGGCTAGATGAGTGTTGATGGAGCTTACTGCAATAACAACCAGTGCAGATATGAGAGAAAAACATGGAAGAATTGGAAAAGGAAAACTGAAACTGGCTGACTGAGAGAAGTAAGTCTAGGGATGGAGAGGACAGAAATGAAATTGAGACTTTGACAGCAAGTCCATAGGGATAGATTGGGTTTTGTTCAAATAAAAGAGACATAACTGGATGAAGTGAGGAATGCAGGCCATGAAATTGAGAGGCAATGAAAATGAGGCAGAGATGAGGAGTCAGGAGTGGAGAAGATAAAGGTCTGAGTCAGGGTTGTCTGTGGTGGCATGGAACAGAATGCCAAATGTAAGGTTTTCTCCTTTGCTGCACAACCTTGGTTCCTCCCCAGAGCAGGTGCATCCTGTGGGGAAGAACAGAGTGCATCATGTGATTGAAAACAACAGCCGGATGCAAACACAAGGAACTGAAGTCAAGCTGCACCAACAGTCTTAATTCCAGCATTGCCTTACAAGACAATGGCTTGGATTTTCTGCTTTAATATTGCTTTCTTCTAGTCCTATATGCTTTGTATGTTTAGAGTGTCTTCATGAAATTAGAAAATTGGGTGTGTGAAGCAAGCCATGCAATAGTGATGATGGGGTAACCTGTGGAGAATGGGAGCTTATTGCCGTCATTCAATTCTTATGCCAAAATCTTTTGTTTGATCTTTCTGCCTGAGGAGTTAAAGGCAGCTTTGGCAAAGGCACTTGTAAAACAGATAATTCACTTGTTGGATATAGCAGTTAAAGTGCCTTACTCTTGGAGGCCAGGATAGCTGGGCTGGATCTTAGAATGTGGTTGGACTGGTAGCACGATGAAACTATTTTCTGAGCCAAAGGCAGATGAATAAGTGCTAAAACACAGCTCTCTACTTTCTGTGTCATCCTAGGCTTTTGAGGTCTCTTATATGCTTATATAGAAGAGAAATCACTTCTGTGGAGAAACATGACATGAAAATAATGCTGACTAAACAGTCATGTCTGAAGGGGTGAAGAAAGTCAAGTTACCCATCAATAAGGAGGTAAATCTCTTTTGAGGTCCGTTTACATTCAGATTTTGTTTAATTATGATGTTTCCTGGACTGAAGAAATGCAAGAGCAGGGTGAGGGTGACTGGGCCACTCTTTCATTCAACTCCTTCACCTTACCCCTTTTTTGTTAGTTATGTGTAGAGCTCCTCTCTCTCCCTTTTTCTGCTTTGATTGAAATGCCTTACAGGAAGTTCCAAACGGTCTTTGTTATTTAGGAGCTGGAAGATTTGGACTCATCTATATTGAATATTTAAGCCCAGGTAAGCTTTCTTAGTGTGATTGTCCTATCTGCCTTAGGACACCTTGGACCTAAAGAGAGACTTTCCTCATCTCTGGTGAAGTGACCATGCTTATTCACCCTGGTGGTTAGAGGGCAGGAATCTTCTTGAGATCCTTAATCTTGTCACACTCAAAAAGAATGAGTCACTTACCAAAGAAGTAGCTGTATTATTGTTTGAGTATATTTTGAGGTTTGTGCTTTCTGTTCTGTGGCTTCTGAGCCTTTCCACTGCACACGGATTATCTCTTCACACTCATTCTGCCACAAGGGCAAGACATTTGTGTTTTTTACAAAAGAAAACTGTAATTCCCACTTGACACAGGGCAATATGTAGAGGACACAAATAAAAATACATGGAATTCCATCTGAATGCAAGGAGACACTTTTTCACTGTGAGGGTGGTCAAACACAGGAATAGGTTGCCCAGATATGTTGCAGAGCCTCCATCTGTGGAAATATTAAAAAACTGTCTGGACATGGTCCTGAGCAACCTGTTCTAGCTGACCCTGCTTGAGCAGGGAGCTTGGACAGGGCAACCACCTATTCTGGACCACCAGGACCACCTGGCCTCACCTCACATTCTGTCACTCTGTGATCCAGGAGTTGCAGATTCCAGAAAATGGTAAAGGCCTTTAGTAGCTTGCAGCCAAGCCCTCTCATTCAGCTTGCTTGGAAGCAGAGTGCCACTGTTTAGGGGGCTGAGTGAAGTGGCATTTTCCTCTAGTTGCAGTCTACCAGTATGATCCATCTCACGTCACTTCTGTCAGATCAGGCACTTTCCTTCCCTTTTCTCTGTGTCCTGTGAACACCTACACTTGGAAAACATTCCTGAGAAGCTGGTGTGCTGCTTTCTAATCGGCTCCACTTTTGGAACAGCATCACCTCTTTGCAGCTTCCTTTCCACCTCACTGAAAACTGCTGTTACATAGCAGTATAACTAGTTTTCCTGACAGAGAGGGATTTGTTCCCAAAATGTAGCCTGCAGCCTCTTACAACAACAGCAGTGATACTGTTAGTCATTTACTTTGCTTTCATCAACTTAGCTATGCCATGTCATTCAAGCAGACCTGCAGTACATGTAGAATAATATAAAAGTAGATACCATATGTGTAGGGCCTAGATGTTTTAAAAACAGACAATGGACAGTTTAGCATTCATGCAGAAAAGTGTTTTATTGTAGTGAAGTTACACAGGACAAAAAAAGTCTCTCTGCTTCCTGATTCAAGACTCTGCTGAGCCATAAAAACACATTGCACTTCCAGTCATATTTACAAGGTTATAAGGACATCATCTAGTATTTTAGGATTTGTCTTTTTTTTTTTTTTTTTAATGAGCTTGAACTATTTAAAGCTGAAATCCAGAATGTTTCCCTACAGGAGTTTTTGGGTTTTTTGTTTGTTTGTTTGTTTTTTTTTGTCCTCCTCATAAAAGCAAACCTGAAGATTTTTTCTTTCTTTCTTTCTTTCTTTCTTCCTTTCTTTTCTTAGCCTATCCAGTTTATTTAAACCAAAAGCACTTCAGACCACATGAGGATTACTTGACACATTCTCATAATGACCTCGTAGGGCTTTGGTACCTCTAACCCCAGGCTCGGTAGACAACACTAATGCTGGTTAGTGCTCAGATCATTCTCATCACCAGCAAGCAGGAAGACAGAATGGCAGCAGGTACAGGAGGTTTATGGAAAAGTACTGAAGTGTCTTTGATGACAGAACACGTCTTCCCCCTTTAGGATAACTGCCAGCCCAATTCTTAATGTAGAAAATAAGCAAAGCATTGCATCAGCCTGGCACATACATAACAAATGGTACAGAGTCTGTGACCATACGGAACACAAAAAGAAGGTGGGACAGGTTTTGGACCTGCCAACCTTTTAATTGTCCTTTCAGGGATACAAATACAACATGGTTTATCATCTACTAACTAGTTTTCCCACACAACAGGTTATGTACAACACACTCACATTTTTACATGATGATATACAGGTCTTCACCACCATCACCTCTTGTGGTGAAAGAACATGACATGTCAAGCTGGCAGACACTTCAGGAAGAAAAAGTTCATGCAGACCTAGCTTATTCTTAGTCTCTTGAAAGTAAAATCTTACAAAGGATGAGAAGATATCTATTTTTACAGTATGTACAGTGCAAAGAGGAAAGATAGGCTTTTTACACGTATGATTCCTTAGCATACTGGATCTGGTCTGCCTCAAAAACTGGCTGGCTGCACCTCCGAGCAATGTACTCAAGTTTGTTCTTTTGACAGGATTCAGACATGGCTCTCAATCGGTAGACTCCTGGGGTCACAGGTAAATTCACACGGGAGTTTACTCCCACAGTGACACTGAAGGTTTCAGTTTCCACATCAGAATCCTTTGTTGCAGAAACTCTGGCATTGGGTAGATCCCTTAGAGCCATATATGCTGTATCCCGTGCACTGTTGCTGCATGGATGAGGCAGCGGAGCATCCTGGTTTGACACTGCTAATCTCATAGTTTGAACCGTGAGACTGTGGGAGGCAACTTTAGTGGCCAGGCAGTTTTTAACAGCCTCTTCATAAGAGGGTGGTCTTCCAGGATTCCTCTGGTCTACCTCTCTGAACACTTCATCAACCGACCTGAAACGGGGCCTTTGCTGATACTCCACAGGCGATGGTTTGTCATCATTAGGACTGTTCTCCTGGACAATTCTGCAGGAGAACTGATCTTCTTTCTTTATGAAACTGTCTCTCTGAAAAAAAATGTTTTTTCCAGGCCCCCAACTCTGGGTTTTTATTAGTGTTTTCCTGTGGTTTGCAAAAGAGAAGGACATGGAATGTTTTTTGATCTCTCTGATAGGTGTACTGCAGTCTTCGGTGGCCTTGGTGGAAAAGGACTGCGGCCTATTTAAAAAGGTTTTTTTGGGACTAGAGGGCGAAACTACTGGGGAGCTGGTGAAGACTGAGCCATCAGAGCTCTCCAGGGAACAACTGGAGGATGTTTTAGGTAGAGAGTCAGTTGATAAATGTGAAGGTAAGACTGCAAGCCGTTTCTCCAGTGCCTCCAACCCCACCTGTTTCTGGGGAACCGGAAAATTGTCCTCACTTTTATTTAGCTTCTGTTTCCTTATTGTGCTATCAAGGCGATTCTGGAAGGACAAGTCTGACTCTGAGTACCTCCTATCCATCATGCTGATGTCATTTCTGAAATTAGTCAGTGAAGAGGCAGAGATGTGTGTTGGATGTCTTCTGCTCACAGTAGCGTTCCACCCTTTATGCTGCTTCCTCTCAGAGGTACAGGGGCTTCCTTCAGCTTCAGGATCTGGGCTGTCGTAGGCGGAGTCATTCTGACGAGCAGCACATAGCTGTTCTGTAGGGAGAAAGCAGGCATTAGTTTTCACTAACAGGCTGAGGTTGAAAGAGAACTATACAGAAAAAAATCCTGCAGAAGAGCACTGCAACAAAGTCTTGAACCTCTACAAATCTTTGTGTTTCCACAGATATATTCACATATCAAATTAAAGAATTCAGCCCAGCAGCCCCAGTCTGTGACATCCCCAGTGCATTCTCATACCTGTGGAGCTGTCTGTGTGCTCTGGTGACTCCTCAGCTGAGGCACAGACAGGGAAAGCAATGTCCTCCTCAAATATTTCTGAGCAGTTGTTTATGAGGAACTCCACCAACACTGTCACCTGCACACAGAAAACAGCTCATTTCAGTCAAAAGGGAAGAACACATATTGAACAGTCTTTCCTGCCTGGTGCTGCAGACAGATGAATTTGCCCCAATACAAACAAAATGCCATCAGCCACAGCTTTGGCCTCGCTGCCCAGAGGGCCCATGAGTGATAGTGCTCACTGTGTGCCTCTTGCCCTCTGCATGCAAAGTGTCCAGGAACTGTGCTGGGACTTAGGGGACTGTGGGGCAGCTGCTGCTTTTGCTCAGAGGAGGCAAAATGAGGGGCAGTCTGGCCCATCACATCGCAGGCTGAGGGCCATCCCTGATATCCAGGAGTGCTGTTCTGTTGAGCTTTTGCGATCGCAGTGGGATTCCTATGGATGGTTCTGAGCTGCCCCAAAGGGAGTGGTTTCTTGGTGAGTTCAAGATACCTTGTCATTCATCTCCTTCTGTACTTCCAGTGGGAGCGTGCTGTCCGTCTCTGGGCTCAGCATATTTGGGCCAACACAGATGGCCAGGTTGCTGGAGTCCATCCTGTTGGTCTCGGCGTTTTGGCTGATGTGGCGGAGGAGAGAGAGCAAGTGCTTGAGCAAGACAAGGTTTGGTTTAGGCAGTTTGTCAGCCACCCTGCAGGAACAGAAACAAAATGTGACATTAATTGATGGTGCAGTGGCTTCTGCTTCTCTATTTGAGCATGACTCAATTAAACTCAGACTGACAACCTTCCTTCAGAAAGAGTCATGTGTGTGTTTTATTCACTGCTTAGGAGAAGTATCATTCCTAAATCCCCAACCACAGCTGAGCTGTAATTGGTTAATTACAAAATGTTTAATTATGAGGTCTTGAACTGAAGGGCAGCGTTGCAGCAGCCCATGTCCTTCAGTAGACTTTACTACCAGAAGATGTGAAAGGTCCATGTCAGTGCCTGTCCCACAGCACCGTGACTATGTTAGCTGAGACACTGCAGCCTCTGCCCTCTTCCTAAGCTAGTTGTTTCATAGAGCAATCTCAGAAAAGTTCAGGAAGTGCTGCTGCTGGAGCCCTCTAAACCAAGCCCCGTGGAGCAATAGCAAGCTGATATAAATGGTACGCTTTTAAATGAGACTCTTAATTTCGAAAGACATCATTGGCCTCTACCAACCACTCGATCATACTGGGTCTGGTTGCAAAACTTCCTGGTTGAAAAACTTACTCTTTCAATTCTTCAATTTTTTCCTGCTTGCTTGGCTTCTCCAGAGCTTGCATCCACTTCTCATAGAGGTCAGCTGACAGGAGTTTGGAGGGAATATTTCGGAGAAAGTCCTGCAAGGCCAAGAAATTTATATGAAGCTTTGACACTATCTCTGAGGACAGAGGGAGCATTACTGTCACATGGGCTCTCTAGGAGGCAGGTTGATGACTTGAGCAGTACAATGCACAAGTGCACTTGCACTTGTGTGATAACAGGAACCAGCTTTTAGCTTCTCTTTGTTCACCCATAAATCTCACTATTCCTCCCTGGGAGGATGCTGAGGAGGAGGACAAAGTGAGTTTCCTCTGGGCATGCAGGAAATCAGCAGCACAGGTAAGTCTGAAAATCAGGTGGAAAAGGAAATTTCCAAACTTTCTTAAGCCTGAAACATTAGTTTGGAGTCCCACCTAGGTCAGCTCTAGGCACTAGAGTGGGCCTGTGCAGATTAGCAATGTCCTCCAACCGATGTAGCTCAGAGTTCCTCACCTTCAAAACCACTGCCAGCAGGTGCACAGATTTGCTTTTCAAATCCACATTGCCACCTTTGTTGAGGTCCTCCTTCAATTCTTTTCGTGCTTTCTCGTTGGCAGCTTTTCTGAATATCCCTTCAGAGAAAGGTCCTTTCATATACAATATAGCTAGGAGATCCTTCAGGGAAAAAAATCAAACAGAAATGAGAGAACAGTTACTTGGTGCAGGAAGGTCCTGCAGCAGGACATTTCTTTAGAAACAGAAGAAAAATTGTCCAGATGTACACTGTCCTCTGATTAGTTCAGTATCTAGTTCCTGCTCCAAGTAGATTACATGGGCAAGAGCCTGATTTTCCCCCAATCCACCCTCTTTTCGAACTGGTGAATTCCACTAACTTCAGTGGAGTCATCCTTGCTTCCTTCCATAAGGAAATAAGGGATGGCTTAAGTCTTAGTTCAAATCTCTTCCCTCACAAGCCAGGCAAATATTGCTTATAAGAGACCAATGCCTGTTATTGGGAGAGCCAATTCAGTGGCAGAACTGTTACAAGACCGTTTTTATCCAGAAGACAGTGTTTAGGTATTTCTTGGTGGCAGTCCATAGCTGTACGCTTTTTTCAGGGAAATACAGAAATCCTTGGAAGTTTATGCTGCTGAAAGATTTATTTGAATTACTGCTGTAGAATCACAGAAGTTCATACTAAGGAGCAGATCTTCATTTCCTATTCCTGGTCCTGGTTTGTTTCCAAGTTACTTCCAGTGAAATCTGAGTGGGCTCAGCAAAACCCATAGACCTGACCCTTTGTATATCTGGGATGGGCCCTGAGCTTATCAGGAGTGTGTGTGGAACAGAAACACCAAAATCACTCATTTCCTGGGTGCTGCAGCACAAGTACTGGGGATCCTGCCTCCCAATGAAGTCAGAGTTATGATAACTGTATCGCCATACTTCCTTACCTGGACTGGCTGGGGCAGTGTGTCATCTTCTCCGCAGATAATTGTGAGAGGCTGGCCAAATAGAGTGATTTTGGCACCCGAGTCTAGTTGCCCTGGGGAATTTCCATTGGTAAAGCTTCGTCTCAGAGTAAATGATTGTGATATCAACTTCTTTCTTTTCTTTGTTCCATCTGCTGCAAGCAAAAGGAAAGCAAAAAATGGATTAAAAAAACCCCAAACCCTGACAGAGCACTATATGGTCTTTCATCTGTGTGTAGTGCAGAGATGTATGTTGAAACAACTCAAACTAAATGGGGAGAAACTTAAAGACAACTAAGTGGTTACTAGGGAAACAACTACCTAAACTGTAAAACTGTGACCATCCCTCTAAGGCCACCACCTTTCCTGTTTTGAGTTGGGTGTTTTTTTCATTCTCGTCACTGTTTCTTCTTAGAGAGTGGGAACATACAAGGCACAGAAATAGCATTTATAGAGATTTTTGATATTGCAGTGGCTCCTGTGATAACTTTGAGGCAGATATGCCACTTGGGCAGTTGGCAATGACAACAATTTTCACTACATGGTCTGACTGTGACCCAGCCATAGGGCAAGAGTGGAAATAGGGGCTCCTGCTTTTTGGCCTCTTTTACAGCCTGAAATAAAAACACATTGCTCCACCTCTGCCAGCTTTGGAGCCAGCTCTAACAATAGTGTCCTTCTAGAACTAGTCCTTGCCCCCAGCAGCCTGCCAGTGGAAGGTGATACTTGCTCCAGAGAATGGGACCATCACAGTAGTGCCTCACTGGCTTCAGGGTCAGAAATCTCTTAGCATGGGTTTTGCATCTTCTTCATTAAGAGGAGGGCATGATAAGAATTTAGAGATGGTAGTTGTATTGTGGTGGGGTGTGCCTTTTTTTCCCTTTCAGAAACAGTGAGAGAAAGATCCTTTTGATGGAAAGCTTTCTAAAAGATTTTCCTTCTGCAAATTTCCAATGATGTGCCTTCTACTCCAAAATGACATTGTCTTACACAGATGAGAAATTCTCAGGACCTGTCTTTGTGGCTTAGCACAAGTCCTTGGTAGGGAGGGGTTAAAAACTATGAGAAAGTCACTTAACATTATAGTGTCATATAAAATGTTTGCTTCTGATAATTCTGAAAGCTGATCTGATATGATAGTGTGCTCCAAATCTGACTCTGCCCTGCTAATGGTCTCCTCTGGGTTGTTTACAGGTTGCTGAGGTTTTGCATGGTGAGAAAAAACAAGTGCTGTTGCTGCTGCCAGGAGGGTTTATTTGCTTTGGCGAGCAACAGCTGGTAGCAGTACTCAGTACTTGCTTCCAGTGCCACACCTCAGTGGGGATGCTCGAGTGAGAAAGAAATACATTAATTCCCATCTTTGCCAGGGAACACACTGAAACAGCTCTAAGGACCAGGGGACAGGGATACAAGACCTCTGGCACTCAGCACTGTCACCTCTGCCATTGAACCTAAGGCAAAGAAGTAATTTGCGAGTGGCACTCCAGGGCTTAAGCCCTCTCCTGGATATAGGCTATGGATTACTCTCAGGGAGGGGAAGTGGGCAGTTTTGGGTGGTTTTGCACAAGTGCAGGCTTGCAAGCATTATATAAGAAGGCAGTTCCTCAGTTTGTTTTTAAAACTCACCAGTGGAGAGGCAAAGTCTGTCTTCAGCATCTGCTGGGACCAACGGGGGACATTTCTTGGCATCAGCCTGCAAAAAGCATGTTAGGGTTAACAGACCTGCCACCAGTAGCAAGGGGCACCAGCAAATTGCTGAAGCTCCTCATAAATCTGCGGGAGGCTCCAGAGAATAACCAGAGCAAGCCCAACACCTGCTGAAGAGGTGCCTCGGTCCAGGATTGACAGTGCTTCACTGCCAAATAGAGGGGTCTGCGGTAAACCCTGCAGCAGCCACCCCAGTCATGCCCGGCAGGTCACAACCTGTGCTCTTTCAGGCTGCACGTTTGATCCGGAGAAGCCACAGCTGGGCACAACCTGCTCTTTTGTGTTCTCCCCTGGCACTGGAAATTTCCTCCCAGACTCCTCCAGGGAGCCTTGATGGCTTTGAAGACTGAAAGATTCCTGAGCAAAGCTCCTCGGGAGCCAAGGGAATGCACCGACTGCCCCCAGCGATGCCCAGCTCCTCCTCAGTGCTGCACAGAGCTGCCTTTGAAGAGCTCTGCCCACTCGTGGGTGAGGGTAGGCAGCCGGCAGCTCTTAGAGGGGCCACCCCCACTTTGTTAAGATATCTCACACCAGTACCCAAGAAAGAGCCAGGAAAACGTAGGGGCTGCTTACCTCTGACTGGCACTCAATCAGACTCTCCATGTTCCCAGCATTTAGTGTCTTTGACTAGGCAAGAAAACAAAGACACTGTGAGTAATTGAATGCTTTGGTTTAGAAATCAGAGCTTTTCAAAATCACTCTGTTGACAGAGCTGAAACAATTAAGACACTCACAGTATTACAGCTGCTAAACACTTTCATTAGGAGTTTGACTGGGGGAGCTCTGGACACTCTGGTTTCCTTCAATCTTTTTGTTTGCCTGTTTATTGAACAGAGAATGGACAAAGAAAGAGCTTTGTAAAACTACACCCTTCTTGTCTTTCTCCCCTGCAAGCCAATCTAGCATGTACGATCCTGAACCAGCAAGATCTCCCACACAAGTAAACCATAAAGCCCTTCTCTGGAAGGATGCTCAGCCCTGCTGCCCTAGCTGCCTCTTGATTAAAACAAAAGAAAAGCAGCTTTCCATTTTTAATTCATGCAAATAATGAGCAAATGGTGACAGCTACATATGGTCGTTAATCTGCAAACATGAGGCTAAGAGACGCGGTCAGCTCTGCCCACTAGCTACACTTAGCAGTGGGCACACCACCCCCCGTCTATATTTTTGTACAGCTCTGTACAGCTGCATCTGAAGCCCCTCTGCTGACTTCATCCACAATGCCATAGATTTTATCTCAGTCAGTACTTACCCAAGGAGTGAGTCCAGCCAGAGCTCCTTTACCTCCTGTGAACTGCAGAGGAGAGGAGAAACAGCATCACTTCCCACTGCTGCTAATCCTTTGGACAGAGGCAGGCGACTAAACAGTCTATACCACGTGTGCTGCTTTATATATGCAGAAGGGGCAGGTGGAAATTCACAGACAGGAAGAAGCATCATGGGGCAGGACAGAGACGCTACAAAATTTCTGGCTTCCTCTTTCCTTTTAGAGGAGCTACCTTTTTTTCCTTAAAGAAAAAAAATGCAGCTCTGGTAGCTGTTATGGGTGGAAAAGATGAGATACTCACCAGGTAAAGGTTCCAACTCTCATCACCAGCTAGAGGTGGGATGTGCAAAGGGGGTTGCAGTGTGGGCATGTTCTCTTTACCGTCAAAGAGCAGTGGGTATAGTAATTCCTTTGACTGCTCAGAGACATTAGATTTGGCAGTTCAAAGCAGCACCAAGTCAAGTTACACTAAGATAGTGAAAGTCATGGAGGAGTGGAATAGACAAGATTCAGGGAAATGTTTTTCTATATTTTTCTAAAAGCTAATGACAACAGTTTACTGTCTGCAAGACGTAGAAACACACTTTGCAAGTGCTAAGTAGTTTTTCACAATCTAAGCACTGGACTTCTGTAGAAGAAGTGGCACTATGTAATAATATAGTGATGTATGACAATATGTAATATAAAGTCTTGCTTAAAATATGTCTTATTAAGAACTATGTGTCCATGTATTAAACTTTAATTCAGCTGAAGAGATAAAAATATCCAGGAAAGATCTATCTCTGCTCTCCCTGTAGTTTTTCAGGATCTGTTGCTAACTGCCCCCAGCCTGGGCACATCGGGAATACAGCACTCACTCTACCAGGCTATTATGAAAATTCATCAATGTTTGATGTTAAATGCATGATATTAGTTCTTTTGATTTATTGACCAAGGCAAATTACAAACCTCTTCTGGGTGCCAGTCTTTTAAACTTGTGAAAAAGAGGAGTTAAGGCTGAGTCAAATGGTAGGGAATTCTTCAGCAGTGGATTTGGATGTAAAGCCCACTTGTGAAACTGTGGTTTTTCTGCTGCTTCCCCCATGGATGCTCCATTTCACATGTGCAGAGGGTGGGGCTGTGTCTTAGCACAGTTCTTTGCAGATACACGTAATGGCTACATCCGCTGCTGACTTTACCCTGAAAGCCATTCTTTGCTTAAGCACATCAGACCTGACCCTGTCTCATGCAAAACAGAAAGGTGATCTCAGCTTGACTCTGGCAAAAATCCAAAGTGCAAAATTCACTTTTGGTTAGATAGAGATGTGTCCAGAAGGGCAAAAGGAGGGCCACCCTCCTTTTTTTGGGGGGGGGGGGGGGAGGAGAGAGTTACTGTAGAAGACCTTTCAAGTCCTCCTGAGGCCTATCATTTCCATGCTCCTGTAGAGACAGTGGACTGTAGACTGGTTTAAGGCTGAAACTTAGTAGAATCTCAATCAATTACTGTGCAGCCCTGTGCATTTACCACTGATCTTTTACTCACTGCCGATTTTTTTGTTAATTATCTGTCCCATGATATCTGTCATTTCCCTACTAAATTCCATGGGCTGATGCATGTGGTTGCAGAAATACTGTCATCCTGCATCACTTGCTCCTGAGAATTTCTTATGAGGCTACTTGGCAGCTGCAGCACCGCTGCTGCAATTTCCAGTGGGATTCCTGGGACAAGGAGCATCTATTTTTCACTACATCTGTTAAATGTATATCCAAACATACCTGTCTGTTAAGTATCTCAGAGGCTTAGGGGACCTATGGACTTCAGTTCTGCCTTGCCCTCAATTCCAGCACTGTACACAGATATATTTCTGACCTGTCTGTTGCATGACTAAGACACAGGGTTTGATCTGGAAAATGTGTGACTTGTGAAGAAAATGTGAGTTTAATGGGTGGTGATTAGGCAGGCCAGAAGCTTAAATTACCGTTAGGCCACAGCTGTACACAGGGCATAATGCTTTGAGTTTCCCAGGAAAAGATACAGTAATGGATGGTGTGTTGATAGCACATCACCAGACTGTCCATTGGCACACACTGCTATTTCTTTATCCAATTAGTTCTAATCTATTAACAATTGTGGAGATATAATGGCCATTGTATGTGGAAGATGTGTGTGTATAGGTCCACCCATATGGAAAACAATTTGATTTTTTTTACCCTCCTGATAGCATTCTTTATTTAATAGCTCTTTTATGGTATGTATCACAAACACTTAATTTGTGCCAAAATTATTTTAAAGCAGCTTATTTTATTACAAACAAGCATGCCCCATGTGATTAGCAGGCATCCTAAAAAGCTATGGTTTAGTGAAGTAATTGTATAGCAACACAGAGGGAATCTTGGCTGTTTTTCTGAAAAGCAGTAAGCGAGTATGTGCTGGCTCCTGCTGAGCACCGCAGAGCTGTGTGTAGGGTCCCAGGGTCAGAAGAGCTGCCCTCACGCCTACCAGCCAGAGCAGCTTCACAGCTTCCTCCATCAGTGTGGAAAGGGTAACACAGATGTAGCACCTAAAGCCAATCTCCACATTGCATATTAACAGAAAAGGCCTGTCCTATGGGGCTTTTACAAATGAAATTCCCTTACATGAACAGCTTCTCCAAGATCTCTACCACCCTCTACCAAAGCTCTGCTTTGCTTTGCACTTGAAATCTTTGCTGTGGTCTGATCCTCCCTCAGTTTGGTACAGATCTTACACCATGATGCTTCAGAGCAATATGCTTCTTGTCCCACAGCCCCTGCCCTGGGCAAGCAGAATAGATGGCAGGTGGCTTGGGCACACCTGGAGCTGTTTGCAGGTGATGTATTACTCCTAATCCATCCTTGTCTAAGTGAATGCACTCTCCTTCAAAGACATGGGATGTTTACACAAAGATCAGGGCATGGCAGAGAGGGTGGACTTGCAAGGATTTTGTAGGAACTGTGTAGAAGCCTTTGTAGAAGTTCTTTCCCTCCTGTACATCAGGTCGCTTCCCTCAGTTCTGCTGAAGTGCTTTCACTGGAGGGAAAGCAGGAACAGAGAGGTCCTGCAGAGCAGTCAACCCTGGATAGATTCAAACCTCTCAAGACTAGGTTTGCTCCTCAAGATGTGAAGGATTTTCCTTATAGAAGCCGGGACATCGGTTTGATGCCTCTGCTTCCCCCTTGTTCCAGACAGCCCCTTTCTTCTCTGAGACCATGGTTGATTTTGTGCTCCACTCCCAATCACTTTGCCCAACTGATTTTTGAAGACAGGGCTTATATAGCACTTGCTGTCAACACAGACCAAATGGTGATTTTCCCCTTTGTGTGAGTTCCAGTCAAGCTAGGCATTTTCTCCTCTTACACTGTGGCTCAGTGAAGAGCGGCATCAGTTGGCATGAGAAAGGAATCAGTAGCTGACAGCAAACAAAAGAACAAAAGAATAAATCTACTGTGACTGGAGAGTGACTGTTTTCTTCCCTCCTCATCAAACCACAAATGGGAAAATCCCAGCCACAGCTCACTTTTATTTATTTCTATTACTCTTGCAAATGTTTGACACAGTAGCTTCTAGAAACGAAGGTTTGTGTGATTGAATCCTGAAACCCAGCTTTGCCGTGTTGTACCAGCAAGGAGGCAGCAGGAGTGTAGCTGTGAGAAGGGTACAGCGGGATGCGCCTGGAGCAGTGACTCTTTCAAGTCCATATAGAGCAGAAAGAGCCTTCAGCAGTGCCTCTCCACATGAAAAAGGGACTATATTCCAGTTTTGTCTTCATTGCCACAGCTGCAGTCTCCCCAGGGAACAATAGGAACATTTACCAAAATAAGGAAAGCAATTATGCCCAAGTCAGAGGTTGTTGGGTTGGTTGTTTTTTCAGAAAGGAAAGCTCTGTACAATCTGTCCATGGACTCCAGGAACAGGCTGGCAAGTGGGTTCCTGGTAACAGGTCACATTTATACATGCCTTCTGAAGGCAGCTCTGATTTCCTACCACTCACTCTCCAGAGTGTGTTATGGGTTGCATAGGCACAGTTCACGGTTTGATCACAGAAAAGAGGATGGACGGAGCTTTGATCAGACCAATCCCTACCTCCTACCTGTAACAGTTCAGAATGATATCCATCAACCCAACTGGTGCTGAACTCCTGCAGAAGTCAGGTGGAACCTGGGCTCATACTAACCCTGCCTTTGGAAAGTGAAACTCATTGTCAGTTTTTCCCAGCTCTGTTCAGCTGACTTCTATCCTGAATTAGATATCAAGGTTAGATTGTAGTGTGGGTTAGATTGCACCACCCTTCTACACACTGTGTTACTATTGCATGGGAAATAGTTAAAAATCAAAAATAACACCATAAATACAGACAAAGGTGTACCATGACACTCTTTTGGTTGTATTTGCTTTGCAGGATGTTCTGTTTATTCTTTCATGGGTGCTTTCCCCAAGACTAAATTGACAGCTCTAAAGATTTTTACTCCTCTTCAGGTGACTGGTTCCAGTAGGTATTTTTTTAGCTGTGGAGAACAGGTGCATATGGGACATTTTTCCAAAGGGTCTGTGCTGCTGTTCAGCTGTGTCTGAATGGGAATTACTCATTCCTTGGGTTCCCTGAGGTAGCCAGCATAAAGGCATTGGGGAATTGAAGTTGCCCATCATTTCTTATTGAGCAGATGCAGATCTAAACCTTTGCTTGCTTACAAAATGGTAATAGAGAATATGTATATTTCAGTCTGATGCCTGTTCTTCTCAAGATTTCTGGTTGAAGGTACTCAAAAAATATTGGAAAAGTGAGATGCTCACTTTTTTTGTTACTCCAGCAGGTTTCTCACTTATTTTGCTTCTTTATGTTGTTCATTCACAAATCAGAAACTGAGATGGAACTTTTCTGCCAGGTTCATTTGCTCTCAGGGACAGATTATGCTTCTTAATGAATACAGAGAGGTGTGAGTCTTGATTTTGCTTTTCAGGATTAATACAAATGTTTTCTTTTTGATTCTTTTTTTAATGTAGGCTTGTATTTCTCCTGTTTCTGCACCTT